CCCCCAGGCCAGGAGGGCCCGCCCCCAGGCCAGGAGGGCCCGCCCCCAGGTCAGGAGGGACCCGCCCCCAGGAGGGACCCGCCCCCTGGGGAACAGCAAGGAACAGCAGGTCCCAGGAGTGAGCAGTAAGGCTGGGTGGGCAGGAGGCCCTGCACCGGCCTGCACCGCAGACCGGGCCCTGCCTGCGCCGTGAGCGCCCGCAGAGTGCCCCCTGGCCCTTCCCTTCCCTGGCGCCTGTGCCCCTGGGTATCTTATCTCTGCTCCCAGGGCCTTGCGCGAGTTGCTCCCTTATCTCCCGCCTCTCTCGGCCTTTGGGGTCTCAGGCGCGATCTGTCGCCTGTCTGCTCTCCCGCCCTCGCCTTGCGACTCTCCCCTCGATCTTTCTTGCTCCCTCTCCATGTTCTCAGCGCCATCCTGGTTGCTATGGCGACGCTGCAGCGGGTACCAGGTGGTGGGTGGGGGTAGGGCGGGCACTGCCGCAGCTCCGCCATTTCCGATGCCAGACACCCGCGAGGCGCGGTGGCTGGGGCTCTTGGGGGCCGCGGGTGGGATGGGGCCTCCGCAAGCCACTTCTTCCTGGCCTTTGGGAGATGGGGGGGAGTCTGGTGGAGCGAGGCTATAGCACCTAGTGGGGGTGGGGAGAGTGAAAGGTGAGAGGTCAAGGTGAGCTGAGGGACGGTCAGCCCGAGAGGGAGGTCCTGGGACAGCCTGGTGACCTTGGGAAGGGGCGTGGGACGGGGCTCAGCGGGAGGGCGCAGCCACCTGGCACAGGAGGCGGCCCTGGGCCACGGCCTAAGGCCATGTGGACCACCAGAGAGGGAAGGGGGTCAGCGCCTCCCCGCTGTGGTGAACGGTGGCTGGGCCAGGCCAGGCCTCCCCTGGACCTGGGGGTGGAGAAGGCTGGCGAGAGGGCGACCAGAACAAGGGCAGCAGCGAGAGGGGGTGGCACTGTGGGCCAGGGCCGGGCGGAGCCCTGCAGATGGCACAGCCGGACAGAACCCGAGGGAGAGGCCGGAGGAGGCATGCTGACCAGAGACGCGGGTGCTAGGGACAGACCAGCGTCCCCTGCCACTGCCTCTCCTGGCTCCCAGCCCTCCCAACCCCCGCCCTGGGCAGAATGCAGTTTCCATGACAACCTGGCCAGGAAGAGGCAGGACTGCGGAGGAAATTTTCCACATTGGCAGGACTGGGGCGTGGATGCAGAGGGCCCTGAACGAAGGGGGTGGCCTTGCAGGGCCCCAAGCCCCAAGGTCGTGCCCCCTCCTGGGGCAAACACACACCCCTCCTGGGGCGGCTGGGGGGAGGTGGCAGGTTCCCCAGTGGCTCAAGGGTCAAATGTCCAAAGGTCTGCAGCTGCCCAGGCCTCACGTGAGGGCGGCCAGCAGCCGACGGAGCTTGGGCGCAGACCACCAGACTCCCAGGGCATGGCGGCGGACAGGGGGCCGAGGAGGGTGGGGGTGGTCGGCTATGGCCGCCTCGGTGAGTTCCTGGCCACCTGGGCCTCTCCGACACTGCTCTGGCCCTCTACCCACCCCCTGGCCTGTCGCTGCGCTGGGCAGCTCCCCCGCCCTGCCGCTCTAACCCCTTTGGGGCTCTCACCCCCCACTCTGGTGCCTGTCTCCTTCTCTGAGTCCCTGCCCTTCCCCCACAGGCCAGTCCCTTGTTTCCCACCTGCTAACTCAGGGGTCAGACCTGGGCCTAGAGCTTGTTTTTGTCTGGAATCGTGACCCCGGACGAATGGCAGGGAGTGTGCCCCCTTCCCTGCAGCTCCAGAACCTCGCGGCCCTGGGGGACAGGTCAGTGGCTTGGCCCTGTCAGCGTGGGCTCTCTGAAGCCCTGCTCTGGCCTCCCTTCGCTGCTGTGTGACCTCAGGCCAGTCTCTTTCCCTTTCTGGACTTGATTGACCTACATGGAAATAGGACAATCCCATCGTCCTTTTCCCCTCCTGCGTGAGGCAGAGAGGACATGCCTCCACCGAGGCTGAGGGGTACCGGGTAAGGGAGGCCTCGTGCCTTCCCAAAGTGCTGTGCTCTCTCCCTTCCCAGGAACCCTGATCTTGTGGTAGAAGTAGCTCACCCTAAAATAATCCACGAATTTGGGGCTCAGATCCTACGCCATGCCAATCTCCTGGTGAGCCCGGCCCCTTCCGCCTTGGCCCCACCCCACCCTGAAGTGGGCCCCGCCCCTGACCTCAGCACCCCCCACGCACTGTCCGGCGCCCTAGGTGGGGTCCCCGTCTGCACTGGCTGACCAGGCCACAGAGCGGCAGCTTCTGGAGGCCTCACACCGCTGGAACCACGGGGTGTTCGTGGCCCGCGGCGCGCTATGGGGCACTGAGGACATCACCAGGTTGGACGCGGCCGGAGGACTTCAGGTGAGCCCTGGCTCCCCGGGAAACAGAGGGGCCTGCGGAGACCCCCGTCCTCTGATGCTGGCTCTCACTTCCAGAGCCTCCGTGTCACCATGGCCACGCACCCCGATGGCTTCCGGCTGGAGGGTCCCCTGGCCGAAGCGCACTGCGCCGGCCCTCGCACTGTGCTCTATGAAGGCCCGGTCCGGGGGCTCTGCCCCTTTGCGCCCCGCAACTCCAACACCATGGCGGCCGCCGCCCTGGCTGCCCCCAGCCTGGGCTTCGACCGCGTGATCGGCGTGCTGGTGGCCGACCTCAGGTGAGCTGGGCTGAGCGGGGGGCCGGCCGGGGCCGGCTAGCCCACTGACTCCCTGCTGCCCCAGCCTCACGGACATGCACGTGGTGGACGTGGAGCTGAGCGGCCCGCCGGGACCCACAGGCCAAAGCTTCGCGGTGCACACCCACCGGGAGAACCCGGCCCAGCCCGGCGCCGTCACGGGCTCTGCCACCGTCACCGCCTTTTGGCGCAGCCTCCTGGGTGCGGCCAGGCCCCTCCCCAGCCACTGCGCCACGCCCCGCGCCCCGCGCCCCTCGGGGCCCTTGTGCGCAGCTGCAGTTCCGCGTGGTCTTGCCTTACTCATCTCCGGCGGGCCCCCTGCCCGCCCTCTGTGCCCCATCCTTCGGTTCCCGTCCCTCTCGAGGTGGCCCTGCACCCCACGTCGCCCTGCCCCTTCCCCTGACGTGTCTCCTCCTCTGGGGCTCAGCTATTCCCTCTCTGCCCCGCAGGCTGCAGCCAGCTCCTGTCCAGGTCGGGGATCCATCTCTGCTGAGAAGCCCCCCAATTCCTCGAGCCCTCGGCTCAGGGACCACACCCCCGCCCTGCCCCCACCACCCCGCGGCTACTCTGGCCTGGGTTTCCCCAATGTCCCTTCTATCTCAGTAAAGCGCACAGGCGCCCCCACTCTCGTGGTTCCGGATCTCTTCTGTGACGTCACGCTGCGTCTCCATACTAAGGATGACGCCATCACGGAGGGCGGGCACAAGGGAGAGGGAGACGGCATCGGAGCTATCGCGAGAGCCACCTCACTACATTTCCCAGAACTCTCTCGTCAGCAGCGGGCGGACTGGCGCGCGCAGTCCGTCAGGGACATTTCCGGGATTCGCCGCAGGGGATGACGGAAGTTGTAGTCCTTCACCCGGGGGCCGCCGGGAGCTGCAGTCCGTCCCGCCTGCCCAGTCAGCGCGGTGCAGCCTGCCCGCACTCGGATCCCAGAGCCGCCGCCCAGGGGAATGCGGGAGCCCCTGGTTCCGGGGAGCAGAGAGGCAGGCGGGGTGAGGGGCGTTGTCAGGCCATGGGCCAGCGCCGCGGTTGGGGTGTGGGTCGGGGTCCTGTATGAGGAGGGGGGCCTGGTTGCCAGGTAACATGAGGAGCGAACCCTGTTGTTTAGTGACCGAGAGGGTAGTCTCTCGGTTGCTAGGCGACCAGAAGAGCCCCTGTTACCTAGAGACGGAGAGGAGGAGTCCTCAACTGCTAAGTAGCCCGACAGACCTGTGACTCAGTGAGGTGGGGGGGTCCTCTGTTGCTACGTGACCAGAGACTGTAACCTAGTGAGGTGGGGGTCTTCTGTTGCTAAGTGACCAGAGATTGTGACCCAGTGAGGTTGGGGGGGTCGTCTGTTGCTA